CCAAGTAATCACTCTAACCGTTTTCCTAAAAGTGATTTTGCTGTTAACTTCTCTTCTCCCCATAGAAGTGGAAATATACTTTACAAAAGTATGTTTAGTTTAATTTACGCATCCTTTCATGCACAGACCAAGTTCTTTAAGGGCATTTATTCTGCTTCATATAAATAATTGATCAGCCAAGTTAATTTACTTCTGCCTGACTTGGTCAACCTTAATTAACTGCCCTGGAATCAAGACTGAACTTTCTGTTAGCTTAAAATCCTTCATGAGCATGTTAACAAGGGCTTTATTTCCCCCAAAATTTCATCATCAACACTGTAACCAAGGAAATAGTCATGATAATAAAGCATTGCTTTAATTTACTATAAATATATTGGCCTGGACATTACGAATTTTCCAGAATTCTCCCAAAGAGTGGCTCTGTTGGCAGTGACAATAAACAAGCATGCTAAATTCAGTTTTTATCCTTTTCTATAAGTCCCTCCAGCACAAATATCCATCTTTTGAAACCAGAAGCTCTGTAATGTTTCCAAGCAAGATGAGAAGCAGGCCTTTTTGGCTTCCTGAGCTTTCTGACATCCATCCAGTTGTAGCATCAGCCTTTGTAGGGTGGTCACATATGATCCATTCAATAGAAATATAATAAAGCATTTTTATTGAATGGATCCTACATGTTATAAACAGGCCAACCTCACTCTAAGAAGCCATATAGGAAGCCAGTGGAAGGTTTGGCTTTGTTTCTGGAGAAAGGACTTGTTATTGAGTCTGTGATGGCCATGTCCTCCAGGTGCCATGTATTCATATTCAGGCCCTTCGGATGATTATGTATCCTTTCTTGTTCTCTGTTTGATATGGAGCAAAGTGGTTCATTGAGGATGTTGTACAAACTGAGTGCCAGGGACAGGCTCCCTCTAAGAGAGGGTGCAGTGTTCTAGGTTAGAGAACACAGATGCCTCTCATACACATTGACTTGCTTTCAGATGACACTAAAATTGTAAAACTTAATAGAAAAGGCCCCATACAGCTGTTTGCTAAAGAATACTGACACTTCATCTTTGCCTTTTAAATGCTTTTCTTTGTCTACCCATCACCCTCATTGTTGTCTTTTCTGGATTTACTTGGTTTTCTTATTGTTGGTTTACCAACTGGACTTTGCACAGGATTTTTGCAAATTGGAAATTCTCTGTCACTTATTGGATGGACAGGTTCACATCTGAAATAGGGAATATTATGGCTGCATCTGTACTCTAACCTGCTGAGCTTTAGTTGTCTTATCTGTAAATTGGGAGTCATGTCATCTGCTTTTCTTTTTCCTTTTACAAACTAGTTATGAGTATGCAACGTATATCAGAGAGGCTTGTAGTTTGTGAGGCATGTTACAGATATAAAACCTTATTAAATGGCTTGGAGAATTCCATAGAAAGAAATATTGCCTCCCCAAGTATTGCTAGAAATAGTCTTAGACATTGACACTACTTTCACGTGTGCTTTTCGAAAAGCTTTTTTCTCCTGATTGGTGTGGGAGATTATAGGAAATTTTAAATCTTCCAACCTACATACTACTGTTAGCACTTGACTAATTAAGGACATCCTTAGACCAAAATAATCCTTTATGCAATTTTGGTCCCAAAGCCTGCACTCTCACAAACCCAATTTGCAAGCCAAGTTGCTTGGCTTGATGCCTGTAAAACTTGTACCAGAGGACTTGGCAGGCTTCTTTGGAACTGCATAGAGCAAAACCTTCTTGTCAAGTTGTGGAGTGGAGCTTGTTCTTCCTACACCCACCATGACAGTGTCAAACCAAGGAAACTAGCAGGGCCAGCCTCTGAGACCCCTGTTTGCAGGTCTGATGTCCCAACAGTCACATGCTTTGAAAGTAGCCCTGCTCCAAAAGGTCAGGATGTTTGGATAAATATACCCTTTCTGAGGGCAGGTATAGATTTTATGTATAGGTAATGTTTTGCCTCTTGGGGATCTAGTCTAGTTCCTGATATAGGTAGGCTTTCCAGAGGATGGAGATAGATATAGATATAGGTATACATATACATGTATATGTACATATAGTAATGTTTTCATTTTTTCTTTAGGTATGTTTATTGCACATCCTAATTAAGTCAATGGGTTTCCTTTCTAACTACTCTAAGACAACTATCCTCTCCCTTAAATACCTAGTCTGTCTTTTCCTTAGCTTCTGCAATAAGAAGCAAGTTTGTGCCAGAGAAACTGAAACTTTGGGAAAAGAAATCCCTAACTTTTACAAATTGACTCCCTTTTTTGGTGATGAGCAAGGTACTTGCATTGCCTGGTTCTTACATCTTAGAGAAAGTTATGGTTGTGTTTTGATAGATCCTTTACTCTGCAACAGTGAGATTTTGAATGCAATTTTTTTTAAAGATTTTATTTATTTATTTTTAGAGAGGGAAGGGAGGGAGATAGAGAGGGAGAGAGAAACATCCATGTGCAGTTGCTGGGGGTCATGGCCTGCAACCCAGGCATGTACCCTGACTGGGAATAGAACCTGTGATGCTTTGGTTCGCAGCCCACACTCAGTCCACTGAGCTACGCCAGCCAGGGCTTGAATGCAATTTTTAAATACCTACAATTAATGGAAAATCTGATGTTAAGAAAAGAGAGTTTATCAGCTGTTGCTTCTGAGTTTGTTTCCCACCTGTTAACAAAAAATGCCATTCTAATTCCATTCAGTATTAGATTAACTTTAAAAAATATGTCTTCTGCATTTATGAAGTTTGTAGTCAAGTTGGATCATACTATGCACTTAAAGGAAATGAAGAAAGATGTGAATTTTTATGCTTTTAATTCTTCCATTTGGTTTTTGTGCATGTCTAGAGAAAAGAGCTAAACCAGTTTCTAGCAAGAAGGCAGCCTCCTCTAAAATTTCCACAGTGTTTAAATTTTTCTATTGTCACGTATTTCATGTGTGGGGGAGAAATCTGTAGTACTGATTGTATATATGTCTTTCCATTTTATGAGGGGGAAATCCCCCAAAACCCCATAATTTATTTATAAAAATTGTGTATTTGTTCGTACATGTTTAAACTGCAGTGACCTCCAAAGCACTCTTCATTTGATGCAATAAACACATCGAGACTTTTTCCCACTGCTCAAAACAATGTTTGAACTCATAGATTTTGATGCCTTTTAGTGCTTCTGCCACTTTTTGCTTCACCTCTTCCACATTGGCAAAATGTTTCCCTTTGAAGACTTTTTTCTTCCGGGGAAACAAAAAAAATAGTTGCTTGGGGCAAGATTGGGTGAACAGGGCAGGATGGGGCATGGGGGGCACTTCATGCCATTTTTGGTCAAAAACTGCTGAACACTCAATGCAGTGTGGGCAGGTGCACTCGTAAATCAGCCATTATGAAATGGGCAAATGCGTTGAAAGAGTCTTAAAAAAAATTCACTGAAGCTGAATGCAGCCTCACAACAACGCCAGCTAGTACACTGATACAGATGGGTTCCTAGAACACTCATCTAGAGGGGAAGCTGTACTACAAGGGGCCTGCCCTCCAAAAAATAATTACTTTTCTGGGAGATCCCCCCTGGTATCTGACCCTTTATCTGTGATAGGTATTTCACATTAAAGTTTTAATTATTCAGGCATTTCTCTGCTTTCATGTTCGAATTGTCAACTCACTTTAGTGACTATTGTATTTCCTTTTGGAAGTCTTACTCTGAAGTTAGAGTAGGGCCCCGCCATTTCATTGTTTAGCCTCTATTACACCTCAGCTTTAAGAAAACTTGTGGTTAAGAATTGATGCGAGGCAGGACTTGTTCCAGTCCTGACTCCACCGTTCCCAGCTGTGATTCATGCTAGGCAAATCAGAACAACTCTCCTGGAGCCAAGTTTTCTCATCTGCAAACTGGAGGTAGAAATTGTCATCAGAACTAAATGGGAGAATATCGGCCTGGCACAACACTGGTGATCAATATATAGTAACAGTACACATGAGCAAATATTGTGTGTCTTACATCATAATTGCACATCTTGACTGAAAACTGTGTTGGCTCCCTTGGATAATAATTTTCTACCTAGAGAGGAACAAGGTGGGATGTGAAATGTATTTACACAGGAGATATATATGTATATACACACACATGCACACATATGTATAGCACCATACACATACACACAATTTTATTAGATGTTTAGGAATTTCAGATTCAGAGCTTTATTTTGGTATGTCTAGGCTAGATTTTCTCCAGAAGAAATATAAGAAGACCCAGACCTTTCAGGCCTTAAACCAAACCAGAAACTAGTAATCCACATAAGAAACACGTAACTTGGAATGGGATTTCTCAGGACAATTTTAAGTATAAGACAAAGATCAGAGTCTGAATTTATTTAACTTTTGAAAAATAGGGACTTTTTTTCCTCTCTAAAAGTGGCCTATCTTACTGAAATGGCCAATTTTGAAGAATTTTAGTATCTGAATGATTCCCAGGCATATGAAGCTTAAAATGCATTTTGGTTTTTGACTACAGGGGTTTTCTACACGAATTACCTCTGGGGGCCTCCTGGTCATGTGCACACCATCTCCTAATAGACTTTGGTTGAGAGTGTTTCCCTGAGAGTGTAACATTGCTCCACTGAGTCTGCACACACCAAAACTTAATATTAACCTAATATGATGTATAGAATGACTTACTGGGTTTTGAGCAAAATATCCAGATATGATCACAGAAACTTAACCATAAATTCTAGGTTCACCTGAAAATATATTTTTTTCCTAAAGGGAAAAAGATAACCTATTTGAAACAATACTGCTGGAACTTGAATTTAGATGGACAGTTCCACACTTAAAGCTAGGGGACTGATCACAGATGAGGGGATACAGTGAGTGAAAGAAAATGACAACTGTTTACAGATTTTTGGCAGCATTTACAGTAGGGCCCTTCTCCTTGTGCACAACAACTGTTCTAACAGCTGCTTCCTTCCTTTTTTCTTTCTTCTTGCTCCCTCCTGAAAATCCTTCTATCAGGTTTTTGAGTCATGATGCAAGAATCTGGGCCTGAGACAAAAAGTAATGGGTCAGCCATCCAGAATGGGTCAAGCAGCAGCAGCCACTTACTAGAGTGTGGCAGTCTTCGGGAAGTGCGGTCCAACGGGGAAGCACCGGCCTCGGATGTGGGGCCTGCCGATCTGGCCCATGCGCAGCAGCAGCAGGTACTGTGCTCTGGAGTCTGGCTTCAGAGGGTGGTGGGAGCCAGTTCCACTCCCTCATTTGACACTTGACCACTGTGAATATTTTATGTTCACCTAACTCTCTGACTGTAAGCAGCACTTTTCAGCCAGCAGTGTGCTAGGGTCCTAACAGTTGACTTAAGAGATGAATTCTCAAGCCCTTGGGAGTGCGAAGTCTTGGAAACCCCCTCTTGGGGCATGGTTGTTGAGAATGAGATTGAGAGGATCCCCCACAACTCCCTCCCAGCCCCAAATTTGTCAGCATAAAGTTAAATTATTTGGGATAAAATTAACCTTTGGGAAGTGGTACACAATGCTTTAATTAAAGAAAAATGGATAACCGACTTGTTAAGCCTTATGAATAAGGCAATAAAATACAGGATAAGAGATAAAAGAAAAATAAGGGCTTATATATGAGAGAAAAGATTAAGTGAATAAAATTAGAAAAATTGGAAATACAGGCAGAATTAGGTAAAAATAGGTAAAACAGCAATAACACAGGCATCAGTATAAGAAATTGCTGCCTGCTACCTGTAAGAATTAGTGGTATGAGAGACATCTACATATGTTTCTTGCATATCTTTGGTTGTTGGGATATGGCTAAATTCTGTTAATGTTTTATATTATCTCTGGTGGCTCCACAATATGCACATAAATTGGGACATACTTGTTCCTGTTATATCCTTTTGATGGGTAAAGTATTTTCAAATGGTGACCCAGAAAATGGTATTCTGTAGCTAAAGTGTTGATAAAAATTTGAATAAGTAAATAGCATTTGCCTGAAGACAAGCATTGCTTTTCCAACCTCTCTTGGAATCAGGACATATTATTAGTTTTTGTTAATGATAATGGATGGTTTTTGTTCCATGTTAGTCCTTGATTTGAATGTGCGACACACAGTTATGGTGACACTGGGAAAAGGGTGAGAAAAGGATGATACATCTTTGGGCCTTTCTGAAAGAAACGGAAACTGTCAAGGACTGAAGGGAGAGAGCAACAAACCTTCTCTCAAACATTTCCCTGGAATCTACATTATAGAAACAAAGAGAACCCTTCCTTATATTAGGGATATAGCCTTTAGCAGGCTCTAAGGCATATTCTGTTTTTCTCCTTGCTAAAAAAATTTTAAAATGCAGGGATTCACTAGATTGCTGGACTTTTAGAAATTGGTAGAACCCACAGGACACAATAGAACCTGTTAGAGAAAGAGAAAGAAACTAAAGACAAGATAAAGTTTTAATCCAGAGGACCTTAAGTGACTTGATCTCTTTCATTGGCAGCCCAATCCTATCAATGCTGCACCTAGAATGCACAACGTTTGTTGGGATGTAAACTTTATGCATTTAAATTAGCCCAAATGACCTAATTCTAAACAATAAGATTGTTAGCCAAACCTATGAGTAAGTGGTAGAAGGGTATCCATGTATTTGTACATGTATTTATTAATGTAGTGTTTATAGATGTTTATGGCTTATGTTGAGAATGAATGGTTGGCATTTTGGAGTGTCATTTTCTGTGCCCTTGCCATGTAGAGGCCGATATCAACTGCTTCTTTATGGAGTAGCTGAGGTGTGGCTGTTGACCAATGTGGTAAGAACCCCAAGTAATTAGTCTTTAGAGGACATTAATTCAATAAGTGAAATTAACTACTTCTGAATTTTATTTAAAGAACTTAAAATCATTCACTATCTTAAAGCAGTAAGTCAGCCAGAAACTTTACATATATATCACACACATGCACGCACATCTCATAACAGCAATGACAAATTAACCTCACACAAGAAAGTTATGAAAGAGCATTTATACAGCATCTTCCTTAAAAAGCATCAATAGCGTAATTAGTTATTCACATCTTGCCTTTTTATTTTGGTTGTGACTACTTTGGAAAATATATCAAATAAAGGTTCTACCTTTAGATTCTACTTCAAAACTCTTTTTAAAGATTTTTATAACAGTTCTGTTTCTATTTGTCATTGGTGTGTTTTAGGAAGAAAGAAAGCAGTTGGAGCTATCATTGTGGCTAAAACGTCACATATTGTGGCTGGCAGGCCTTTCTGGTCTTTTAAAATAAAATACTGACAGCTGTTTGACTCCCCTTTTAACAGGTTTGGGGAAAAGAAAATCTGTAGATGAAATAAAAGAAAAACTTCAGGATTCATAAAGTTTCACAGGACTAGAGTTGTTAGAGTTTTCTTCCAGACTGAAAACTGCAACAATTAAACATTTTGGAGAAATCTGAGTGTCAGTGTGATGGACTGGGGTTATTTTCGTCATTTTTATTCTACAGGTTTTTACTCAAAGTGAGAATACCAGCAGTAAGAAAATCATAGCCATGCTGAATTCATTACAGCGGTAGTCACACAAAACCACGGATAAAATTTCAATAACTGCAGGCCACAGTTGAGTAAACAGTTGCACTGAAATTTAATTCCTGTTGACTTTTCCCCCATTCCTCGCCAGGGGCACATTCTGATTCTGTAGTACAAAGACAACAGGGGTTACAGCTTTGATTAATGTAGGACAGTGGAAGAGAATTAGAACTGTAAAATATGTTAGAAGTCTATGGAACAAAAAGATCTGGCTTAAAAAGGCTTGGTATAAAAATGAGTTAATTATGCTGTCTGTGAAACTGAATGGTGTAGGATTTTCCACTTGCACCACAACAATCATTCATGATATAGGGAGAACTTTTACCTAGTGCCAGGATTTAAAATAAATAAATTCAAGTCTTTTTGTGCTTGATCCATTTTATCAAAGATAATTACAAGTGATAGCAAGTGCCCTTTCAGATGGAGAGCTTTCACAAAGATTCTCCGTGGAGGACATGACTTCTCTGCTGGGCATGGTCTGTATATTGACTAAATTGTGTCCAAATAGAATTCTTTTTTAAAAAATTACATAGTTGACAACCTAGAAAATGGAGGAAATCTAGCTTTTCATCTTCTCTTTTAAAAAATCAGATCTGCTCACCCTGAGCTGACATTTTCACAAGGGTAGCAATTGCTGGGAGATGAATTGCTACTTAAGTCAGGGAGCATGTAACCCTCCACGTGGCCTTCGTTCCCACCCAGAAGCCTCGACTATTGGTGCCCCTCTAGGCAGTTCAGTTGGTGATTCTGGTCTGGGAGATGCCATCATCACTCAGAAGTTACCGGCCAAGGAGTTGCGCTGCCATTAGCTGGAAGAGCCTGCCAACACACCTACAGACTGTCTTCCTTCCTCCAACTAAATGTATTGTCTCTGTAATGTTTCAACTTTCCTTATATCTGGGCCATAAAACTATTATAACAATAGTCCTCTAACAGTATAATTTGATAGAGTTTCTGAACATTTTCTTTTAGCCACTGAGTAATTCTTTACCCAGCACCATAGGACTTTTTATTTCCTATTATGCCTGCCCCATTTCTGGGTCTGTAAAAGTTCTGTAGTGGATGTACACTCCTCCATTATGAAGCTCAGCAACAAATACTATTACCAATTACTACAGTTTTTTTTCCTTAAAGAAAGGATTTTAAAATGTCCAAAGCAATTTCATAAACTGTGTGGATTAATGCATTTTAAAAGTCTTGAATTTTAGAAAGCAGAATTTTATTTCCATATTGCTGCAAATGAGAGCGTTTTCATATAAGCATATTACATAGAGCATAATGTTTAGGAGTTTTCCCATATACAGCATATGCTGCCGGGTCAATTAACAGAACGCATACTGGAAAATGTTTATTCAATAAAGATGAATTGCTGTTAAGTCAAACAGCTATTTCTTAACAACACTCTATTTAATGGTGGGGTTTTTCTAATTTTGGGAGAGTTCCCACCTGCCAGTTTCATTGTCTGGAAGTCAGTATGTAGAGAACTTTGGTCACTGTGCTTCTGAGGTGTGGCTGTCATTTTGTGTGAGGCAGGGCAGTTTAGAGATAGTCCATGAGGAAGACATAAAAAAAAAGAAACTATATATGAAATTTGAACATGTATTATTTAGAGAGTGTGGATAAGTGATGCGTTTACTTCATATAGCTTCTTTGACATTTGGCTTAAGGTGTTGAGCCTTTTAGCCCAGAAGATGTTTCTTTTGTTAATTACATGTTTCATGTTAATAATGTGGGAAAAAAGAGACAAAATGTTGAATGACTATTAAGGAGGGGTAAGCAAGGCAGAAAGAATAGGGAACTTCTGAAAAATCATGAAAGGGAAGAAGGAGTATTCATTGAGTTGAATTCTGGCCGTTGAGCCATTAGAGGAAGTAAATGACTATCTAATACACAGGACAGAGAAGCTCAGAGAAATAGTATGAGTGTGACAGGACTTAAGAGGTGTCTGATTCTGAACATTCAAAAGGGATGAAGAGATTAGCCAAAGAATATATATGCACATATGCATAGCCCATGGACACAGACAACAATGTGATGAAGACCGGGAGTGGCAGGGGCTGGGGAGGGAGGGCAAAGGTGGGTAATGGAGGACATCTGTAATAGTGTCAACAATTAAAAAGGGGAGGCACTGTCAGAGGAGGCCAAGAGAAGCATGAGTATATACCTACTGGGGTCCTCTGACCATGAGAAACAGAATTATAATGACTGAAACATCAGTATTTTAGCATAAGTCGATGCACAAAAATTTAAAAACCTTCTCTTCATTTTCAAAATGGCAGAGTAAATTCTTGATTAAATTTTTGTTACTGAAGTTAACAAAAATACCAGTGGACATGGAGCCGAAAAGGGAGGTTGTTCTGTCAACATTTCCAACTTTAACTGCTTCTTTTGAAAACAATGCCTGGAAGAAGTAGCTTTCAGTGTTTGGCTGGGCAGTAACCCCATAGGAAAAGGAGCCAGCCCTTTGGATCTCACTTGTACCAATATTTTCTTGGGGATGCACCAAAACTCCACTAGCCATTCTTTGTCTGTTTCTCACTCTATACTGAGGCCCAAGTCATTAGGCATGTATCTGTAGGTGTGAGGAGTGGGTAGCAATGGCCAGTTCAGCCT